TATATATATATATATATATATATATATATATATGAATCCACATTCAGTTTTTTATTCATTCACTCCCCAATCCATAAATCTCCACTCCAACCATTTAGCGCACACTTCACACAACATCTGTGTAGGTTTCGTCTTTTCCCACTAAGATACGCAGGAGAGAGAGAGAGAGAGAGAGAGAGAGAGAGAGAGAGAGAGAGCGCTTTGTTTCAGAGTCACCAACAAACGATATCACTGAAACAGAGGACTCTGTGATGAGCTGAGAAAGACAAAGATGAAGTTTATGAAGCTTGGCAGCCGCCCTGATACCTTCTTCGCCAACGAATCCATAAGGCTGCCATCTCTCTCTCTCTCTCTCTCTCTCTCTCTCTCTCTCTCTGTGTGTGTGTGTGTGTGTGTGTGGAAACTAGTCTAACTCTTCCTCCTTGCTCCTACTCTAATGGTTCAGGTCCATATCATCCGAAGTGTCCACCGATATCAAAATCCAAGTCCAAGACCGCTTGTACCATCTTCACAAGGTATCATCCTTTCAAAAGACATAACTTTGAAGACTACATCCAACTCTAATACAAACTCTCCTCTCTCTGCTGCTCCAGTTTCCCCTGCTATCCAAATGCGGCCTCTTACAGACACTATGCTCAAAAGACTCCCCCCATCCTCCGACCACTATCTATCTCTCCGACATCCCCGGTGGCGCCGACGCTTTCGAGCTCTGTGCAAAATTCTGCTACAGCATCACCATCACTGTCAGCCCGCTCAACTTCGTTCCCCTGCGCTGTGCCGCCGAATACCTCCTCATGACCAACGCCGTGGACCGCGGCAATCTCGCCGGAAAGCTCGAGTCTTTCTTCAAGTCCTGCATCCTTCAACGTTGGAAGGATACGCTACTCACCCTGCAGAGCACGAGGCAATTTCCTCCCCTCTGCGAGGATCTCAAGATCACGAGCCGGTGCATCGACGCTCTCGCCGCCAACGTTCTCTCCCACCCCTCCAAGCAGTGGTGGATAAAGGACTTGGCAGAATTAAGTATTGACCATTACTGGAGAATCATGCTCGCCGTCAAGTCGGCCGGAGTTGTCTCCAGCAAAATCGTCGGAGAAGCAATAAAGGTCTACGCCAGTCGGTGGCTTCCGAACATGGGAGATTCTCTCCATGAGGCTAATTTGAAGCACCAACTGCTTCTGGAGAAAATAGTGATTTTGCTTCCAATCGAGGAAGGTTCAGTCTCCTGCAGCTTCTTGCTGAAGCTTCTCAAGGCAGCAAACATATTGAATGCTTCTTCCACTTCGAAATTGGATCTTGCTAGGAGAGCTGGAGTACAATTAGAGGAAGCCAATGTTAATGATCTCCTGATTGCATCTTTTACTGATGGGGACGAGATTCTGTATGACGTTGATGTCGTGATCACCATAGTTGAGGAGTTCATGCTGCAGGGACGGAGCCCGCCGACGAGCCCGCTGAGGAAGAAAACCAGCGGCGGCGAAAGGCGGCGGTCGAGGTCAGCGGAGAACGTTGACTTTGAAGGGCAGGAGAATGGACGGCGGTCGTCGTCGGCTTCGCATAGCTCTATGCTGAGAGTAGCCAAGCTAATAGATTTATACCTGCTGGAAATTGCGCGCAATGAAAAGCTTCCAGTGGAGAAGGTGATAGCTCTCGCTAAAGCTGTGCCAGATTTCGCGAGGATGGATCATGACAATCTATATAGAATTATTGATACATATCTCAAGGTGAAATCCTAAACTTGCAGGCTTTAAGGAATTATTTGTTCAGTATTAGTCCCTAATTGGCTGCTTCGACACAGAAAAAAAATTTTGAAAATCGATTTTATTAGCTTTCATCGGGTAGTTATAAGATCATACTGATTTTAAATTTTATTTTTTATTTTTCACTTTAGAATTTTGATTAAGGTCGTTTCAATTGAAAATTAAATTAAAATATGCCAACTTAACTTATGGGATTAATATATAATTTTAAAAAATAAAATATTTATCATTCGGATGCCAAATTACTCTGTTTTGACCAATAAATCAAATAGGCGCATCCACAACTGGAGAAGAAAGAAAGGAAGAAACTTTGCAAGATTATTGATTGCAAGAAGCTATCAATGGAGGCATGCGTGCACGCAGCTCAAAACGAGATGCTGCCTCTTCGAGTAGTGGTGCAGGTCCTCTTCTTCGAGCAGGCTCGCGCGGCAATGGCCGGAGGCCATGTTACAGAGCTCCCCAGCAACATCAAAGCTCTTCTTACAAAAGCTGCCGGCTTCAATGAGAAGGGAGTGACGATGAACTGCACAAGCGGCCTGGAAGCAAATGATAGCGAGTGGAGCTCTGCTGCAGGGCCTAAATGCCAGATGACGAAGGTGGCGACATTGAAGATGAAGCTTGAAGAAGATGACAATGACATGGAGCTGGAACAAGTCATGGTGAGGGATGGGCTGATGAGAAGCACGTCTTCCAGGTTTAGAGCTCTGTGCCCTATTCCTAGCAGGCCAAAGAGGATTCTAAGTAAAATTTGGACTTTGAATAGAAGTGTTAGTGAAAGACTCTGAGTCCTTTGCTTCAGATTTATGTTGAGAAACCATTATATTGGATGGGCTGAGAGTTTTGTCTTTGTTTGATGTTGAAAGTTGAAGCTTGAAGATGAATTGGTGTCATATTATTGAAGTTACTGCGATTAGTTATGAATGTGAAGTGAGATCCAATATATTGCTGGAGTGTGCAGGGCCGAATTAACACACTTTCATCTTGAAACAATTTGTATTATTACGTTCAAAATATAAGAAACCTTATCTCCTACCTTGCAGCAAAAAGATCTCTATCCGACCAGAAAAAATCTCTCAAGTCAAAAATGTAATTCTTTTTCTTTAAGAACAGGTAGGGTGAATGATTATTCTCATAAATGTTCAACTTTCTTTTTTATCTGTTTGTGTGCTTGATCTTCGTACAGTGCTAAGACGTTAAACTTTATATTTTTCTACCGTCGTGAATATTTCAGGACTCAACAAATATGATGTATATTTGTTACATCAAGTCAAGACCTTCCTCTTCCCACCATATAATGCACTTCATATGATGTATATTTATTACGTCAAGCCAAGGCCTTCCCCCAAGGAAGGAACAATTATTACGTCCTCCGACTGGATGCAGAGAAACATCCGGTCGCAGGCAAAATCCCGCTATACCGAGGTGTACAGAGTTTTTTTCGAAAAACTCGGTACACCTCGGTACAGCGGGATTTTGCCTACGACCGAATGTTTCTCTCATTCGGTCGACCGGACCAAATAAAACTTCCCAAGGAAGAGCCTCATTTGTAATCAACTAGAAATACTAGTGGATTCATTCAAATTGAGCCAGACCATGTGATTTTTCCTTTATTTAGGATTTTCCACATAAAAATCACGGTCTCTTATAAATACTGCACCCTCTTTTTCACTGTTTGTGTGCTGGATCTTCATATAATGCTAAGACGTTAAATTTTATATTTCTCTACCGCCACAAATATTCCACGACGCAACAATTATATTAAAAAAAAACCACTTTTCTGTTATTCTAGCACTTGTTGGTGGGTTAGGTTTCAGTTGTCTTTCAGTGGAAGCATGAGATCACCTATGAATATGAGGCCTCCAGACACTTTCTCTATAATTACTATGATGAAATACAAGACTATTAAATTGGCCGCATGGATTTATTTTACAAAAGCTTCCTGAAAAATGAACAATGATTTACATTTGGCAGAAATGTTTAGAAGATATATAAAAATCCAACTTTTGACTATACAGATTAAATTTTGATGAGCCTATGATGAATGTGACAAATAGCTATTCTCTTTGGTCTATACGTATGCTTTTAGCATGAAACTTATTTTTTTTTTAACTATCATCACTCATCACTATGGTCACTTTATTTAATAAACAGATATATTTTATAAAGATTTAGGCATAGGCACTTGATGATGAACTTCAAAGAAAGAATTGCTAAATCTTATCCTTCTGTTCTCCGTATCTATGGTGAAGAAATAAGAAAAAATGAGGAATAATTAGATGAAGAAATAGGGGTAAACTGAAATGGAGATCTTCATATGGAAGATTTTGGTGCTGAATTGCAGGAAAGGATGGGATGCTAACAATGAAAAAAGATGAAATTAGAGATGACGGTGTCTTTTAATTGTTCATTTAATAAAGATAGGATCTTTGGGCTTTTGGTGGATTCAAATCATTGAAAGCTTACCAATTCATATCAGTTGTGAAGATGCAGCTATATGACTTTTTTCTCACATATTACCACTGTTTTAAAAAAAAAAAAAACAGACAGAATGTAAAGATGGTCCAGAATCTAATTTAGGAAAATTATTATTTTATCTTTTAATATACAATAATCAGAGCTATCTAATTATCTTTATTAATATAAATACCAGCGAAAATAAAATCATCGATAAAAATATTAATATATGCATTTGTATTCATTTCCCCAAAAAATCATATATACTATTCATGATCTATAAAACCATATTACATCTATTTTTTTTAATACAAAAGAATAGCTAAAATAGCAAAAGGATGAACTTGAAGGATCTTGGTCAATCTCACACCCATGCTCCCTTGTCCTGAACTAGAATCTTTTAATTACATATAATAAGCTCAAGAGCTCAGCAAGTAACCAAATTTTATAACTAAACTCAAAGCACGACAAATAAGCAATATGCATGTTAGCAATCAAATCATAACAGTAATATTTATATGACCATAAATTAGTGCAGAAGAAGTAAAACTCTCATATAATAGTAATAATAACTGTAAATGATAAAACATACAGTATATAAGTCAGTACAATAGTACAATGGAGAAACCAGTAAATTAGTACTGATGTCGAATTAATAAAGCAGCCGTCATATCTAATCCTATTAATTAATAAAGAAATTGTATATAGTAATAAAACTAAAACATCGATAAGAATTATCATAATCATATTAATACAGTAAAATTATATAAATATATTCACATGTATCATATCAGTAACTTAATCACATGCTCGGTATCAATACAATAAATCAGTGGTATCAAACATTATCGATATCCATATCAATAACAGTATCGGTACAATGTCAATGTCGTCAATAAAATTGGTGGTAGTAACAGTAAAGTAATACATTAATAATAAATCTGTATAATGACAAAAAATTAGTAAACAATTAACAATAAAGTAATAAAATCGTGCATAACAATAATAATGAATTAATAACATGCATTTTAGTATTAATGCCTCGAAATTTAAATTGGAGGAAATTTTTTTTTATATTTTAATTAATATCCACCTGAGCTATCTATTCTTTTTACAGTAAAAGAAATATCATCATAAGTATTACTATTGATATATATATATAGAGTCATAAGTCATAATAGATATGCTGTTTAGAAGAATCCTTTTTTAAGCTAGTGGAGATCGCTGATCTGCTAGGGTTTCCCCGACCCTTCGTTTTCGATGAGTTCTGAGGGTTTTCCTCTCATTTTAAGTCTAAGATATTAGTTTCCTTCCTGTTTTCGATGGATAAACTTCGTGATCCTGGGTTTTTGAACGGGGCTTCCGCGCCTCTCTCGTTTAAGGAAGCTCTTGCGGGTTCTTCGTCGCCTTTCCCTGATTTAAAGGTTTCTTCTCATCGTGGCTTATCGGCTCTTTTTATCTCTGAGGAAGAGGTGCGATCTCTCGTTTCTCCTTTCGATTTTGCGTTAGTTGGCAGATTTCCAGGTAGGCGACCTTCGGTCGACGCTATTCGGAAGTTTTGTTTCAACTTAAAGTTGATAGGTGATTTCGGTTACAGTACTCAATCACCGTAATGTGCTGATCAAATTGGTGAATGATTTTAACTATTGCCGGATTTTTTCGCATAGATCTTACTTTGTTCAAAATTGTTTTATAAAAGTTGTAAAATGGTCCCCTAACTTGGACATTGAGGTGGATTCTCCTTTTGTGCCCGTTTGGATTTCTTTCCCCTTGCTTAGTTCTCACCTGTTCTCTCCTAGAATTCTTCTTGGATTAGGCTCTATTTTTGGTCGTCCTCTTAAGTCGGATTTGACGACTGCGGTTGGTTCCCGACCATCTATGGCTCGTATACTTGTGGAATTGGATGTTACCAAAAAACATGCTGAGAAAATTTGGGTTGGTTCGGTGGATTCAGGCTATGTTCAAAATGTTATTTTTGAAGATATCCCTCACTTCTGTTCTCACTGTAATTCTTTAGGTCATCGTAGGGAGTCCTGTTCTATCTTGCATCCCTCTCTTAAAGCTTCTAAAAATGTGGTTGTTGGCACAACGGATTTGATTGTCCCTTTGGATGAGAATTTAGATATTCCTGGGGTCGTTACGGATGTTTTGGATGCTGGTGGTAATATTTCGATGACTGTTGCTACGGCTCTTGTTGATAATTCTGATGATTTCTGTGAGGTTTTGCCTTATGTTCAGATTTCGGTTTGTTCCCCTGCGATTGGGATTTCCCCTGTTACTGTAGTTGGTGCTAATTAATGTTGGTCATGGAATAGTGGATGATTGTCTTATTCACATGTATCATATCAGTAACTTAATCACATGCTCGGTATCAATACAATAAATCAGTGGTATCAAACATTATCGATATCCATATCAATAACAGTATCGGTACAATGTCAATGTCGTCAATAAAATACGTGGTAGTAACAGTAAAGTAATACATTAATAATAAATCTGTATAATGACAAAAAATTAGTAAACAATTAACAATAAAGTAATAAAATCGTGCATAACAATAATAATGAATTAATAACATGCATTTTAGTATTAATGCCTCGAAATTTAAATTGGAGGAGATTTTTTTTTATATTTTAATTAATATCCACCTGAGCTATCTATTCTTTTTACAGTAAAAGAAATATCATCATAAGTATTACTATTGATATTTATATATATATATATATACATTCTAGATATTTCTTAGATTATATTTATATCTTTCAACTCTTTAACTTTCTTATATGTATCTTTTACTTGAGCAAGAAAACACTAACACCATTTGGATACAAACTTGCAAGTTTTCATATAAGTGATTATCATTGAAAAAATTCCTCTATCTCCATAAAATTTACACTATCTTTCTCCCAGAAAATTTAATTTAACAATTTTTCTATTGCATTCTATAATTACAAAACGATTTTATAACAAATACATTCCCAAAATCATATCAAACTGTAATTATAGATTATTGGAGACATGAAGATTTAGTAAATGTACCTAATGAGGTGCATTTGTGAGCATTGAAATGATTTAGCATCAGTAGCTATTTGACATATACATAAGTATACTAGAATCTGTTGTATGAGACACATGACATGTATCATTGTTACTTTGATATAATGATCAATGATAGGTTATTACTCCAACTTTATAGTTGTTCATACTACATGCCTCACTTCATTGTTGTTTATGATTTGATAGGCATGAGTTATTTATTGTGTTTGATTTATCAATCTCACTCGTTGCATTTTCTCATAGTAGGTCCTACATGTGTGTTTATTTACATGTTTTTATTAATAATTTTTTTTAATGATTTTATTAATAAATTAATCTCTTAATTTTCATTTCTAGGTTTACTTTGATGTATACATATTCTATTATATCACTTGTATATGCATGTTTCTCTTTGTGAATACAAAATATGTCTTTATAT